AAAGTGTGTCAAAGAGCAGAAACCATTAGAGATCAGACATCTGCTTCATGCCTGAGTGGAGGAGATGTAGAAACTATAAGAGGCTGAATAAAACAAACTGTCTTACAAATACGGTTGCTAATCCAATAAGGAAGCAAGAAAGAGAAGGTAATTGATTGAACATTGTTGCCTTGTGGTCAATGCAGAATTCAACCAATGGTTGAAATGACTGCGCGTGTGCGTGTGCGTACCTTAGCCCCATTGTAAGAGTGATATCGAGAACACAGCTGCAGCTTTGTCATCCATAACTCCTGTTCCGCTGCATTGGATGCTGAAACAAACAAAAAAAAATGTGCGTGACAGCTGCCCTCCATTCATCAAAGACAGTAACAAAGAATTCCTGCTTGAATGTGAATGAAATTTTGGTTTCATTGACGCAATTATCAAACAAACAAAAATTATTTAAGCTCTTGACTTACTGTTGCAATGTTTACATCTCTGACAAAGCTTTTTCCAAGAACTGTTAAAAGGTTGTTGTTTTCACTGCAATCAGTGAACAATATTTGTGGAATTAAGGCCGGCTGGCGTAACAATAAAGTGGCTTTCAGCTGTCTGTGTTTAAAAGCTGCTGCAATATAGCCTACTGGTATATATATATATATATATATATATATACATATATATATATATTTTGATCGTCCATATGTAGTCGCCAAATAAAAAGGTTGGCGTAGGAACAGAAATAATGACCAACTGAAATTTGGTTCCCCAATTTTGAAAAAAAAAAAAGTTATATCCGCAGTTAATACTGCTTACTGTACATTCAGTAGTGAGCTAAAATGTTCTCTAAAAACAGGTGGGTCCATAATAAGCCAGTTTGGGTCAAGAATGGACCAACCTGCTTCTTGGCCAATTTGACCCAAAATTCTGGGTTGTTTTGAACAAAACGATCCTATTTGAAGTGGATTGGTCTCTTTCTTAGATTGTTATCGCCCACCACAAGTTTTGTTGTGGCTGTTTTGTTTCGTTTGACACTGACGATGTAGTCGTTCAATTTCCTGTCAGGCTATATGCACCCTGTGATTGACTGGCGACCAGCCCACGGTGTAATCTTGCCTATCACCACTTGGCTGGGATAGGCTCCAGAAGCCATTAAAGTTTAGTGGAGCTCTGGATAAAGGTGAAAAGAAATGTAACATTCCAATTACAGTATATGGTCATTATAGCGTTTTAATATCACAAAGTGAATGGTGTTCCAAGACCATTGCACAATACCGTTGCTGCAACATAACTCGAATAAAAGGTTTGAATGTATTTAAGTATTTATTTATTTATTGAGTCGCTAAATCCAGTATTACATGTCACACTTACCTCTAAGTTTATAGGCTTCACCAGTCGGCGACTGAATAACAAACATGTAAGGAAAGTCACCGGCGGAGACAACCCGTGCTCCCAGTAGAGACAGGGAACCTCTTGGAGGCCGCTGGCTTTTGTTGTGTTCATTTCGATAGTAGTCAAGCCGGCTAACCTCGGGGTCAAGAACAAAATACCTGCAAGAGGGAGAGAATTACGAAAAACGACAGAGGAAAATCAAAATACTGTTTGGTTTTTTTGAGGAACAAATGTATATATGGTGAAAATCTCACTTTGAATTGAATGACACTATAAATTGTCAGCAAAATGACATCCAAGTAACATTCTGGAGACCATTTTAGTAGAATGAGCAGACCATGCCACTGAAGTATCAACACTGTGATTGTGTAAACAACCTAATGCACCCACAACGCTGGGAGTAACAGATGCAGAGAACGCAAATATGTTCGTGTGTTAATGCTCAGTCAGCATTCTCAAATTGGGAGGAAAGAACAAACTGAATGAAATATTTCACCCAATAGCCTTTCCCACAGTCAAGAAGCAGTCTCACATTTGGATGGTTCTATTGATCCAGTTGGACAGTTTAGAAAAGAGAGGAAGACAGTAACAGTTGGGAAGAGGGTGGGGGGGGGGGGCTCTAGATGAAGAGAAGATGCTGGAGAGGAACAAATGCAGGGCTTTCCTGGATGACTCATTCGGTGTTTCTGGGACACTCGCCCACACAGCTCCTCTCAGTAGTGTTCACAATACAAGCTAAAATTGAATAATTGGAAGCATGCACGAACAATTGACTGGCTACAAATATGCAAGTAGGTGGGAGGTGATGAACAAAAGTTGGCTGCGAAGACGATTTATAGGACACACTGTGAGTGCGTGTGTCAGTCATTCACAATGACATGAGCACCGACGGAAACACTGAGCACCTCGTTACATTTTTGATCGAAAATGTATTTGAACGTGAATCGGGCAGGAATTATATTCAGTATTAGTGTGCTGTGTCCCATATAAGGGCATTTCTTAGAAGGAATGGAACAAAATACTGATAATGTAATGTGTTGTACTGAAACACCGGAAGGACAATCAATGCCTCGATGAAATGAACAACAACAAAATAGGAGCATGTTACACTACTCCAGTATTTTTGATCATTTTATTCATATCATCATTTGTTCCACTGAAACTGTTACATGAAGACATGACACAAGGTGACCATGTTTTAAAACATAGACATAGAAAACATAGCTTTGGGCTTTTGGAAGAAGCTACTGCTTGGTTTTCAAACTATTTTAGCAGTCAGTCGCAATGTATTAGATATGATGGTCTCTGTTCTGACATTATATCTGTTCACGAGGTTGTGACACAGGGTTCTCTGCTCGATCCACTTTTATTTACCAATCCATGTGAACAATCTTGGTTGAAATGTGGCAAATGCAGGACTCAACGCTTATGCGAATGGCACCATTGTCTACTCCTCTGCTGCATCCCTTGCACAAGTCTTTAAAGATTTGCAAAATACCTTCATGGTGCTGAACCTTGTTACAAATGCAGATAAGATCAAAGTGAGTTGTCGACCCGCAGGCTCCTTCACTGGCACATCTTCATTTACACTACAAGGTAATTCTTGGGCTGCTTCCTCCCTATCATTGTGTTTTTATCAGGCAGGAAAGTACCTGATTGTATTCATTACATTCTCAGTACTTGTTCTCGCTTTCTATCCCAAATACAAGGATAGAAATTGGGAGAAAGGCTTTTGGGAATGTCCTGCAAAATGAAACCAGTGGTTCTATACTAAAATAAGAATTAGGTTTGTACAGTATATGTTTTCCTTGCTTCAGTTGAAGAGAAAATTATTATTTTTTCTTCAATATTGTGTATGATTTATCACTCAGTTGCTGTATCATGACACCATACTGTAGTGAAGGGCACTGTGACAGTGTGTCAGGATACTCTGGTTTCATTCCAAATTCCCCAAACATGCATTTTAGGTTAAGTGAAGACCAGCGTTGGCAAATCCAGGTCCAGAAAGTAAAGATCCTGTCACGGTTTGGCTTTAGCTACAGGTCGTTTTCATGGTTGAGTAGAAGAACCTGCGGCTAAAACCAAACTGTGGCAAAATTGCACCTCATATTTCATTATTATGAAACAGAGCAAAATCGTAAATTTTGAAATTGAATGATTAATGTCGGCAACTCCTAAATTATTCCCCTTAAATTTCTCAAGCAGCCATGTGAGATCAAGCTGCAATAAAGCTCTTTGCAATTATAATTTCACCTCTGGTTAAGCTGACAATCTAAACAGAAATCAAAAACATTTAGACATTGCTCATTACATATCTACACAAATTAATTTGGCATGCAAGTTAAACAATTATCAACGGCATATTTGCATTAAAAGTTTGAAAAGGACATACATATATTTTTTAATTACACTGCATTTCACTCACCTATTCTGCCAGCCCTGCAGGAGATTAGTGTATTTCCTCAGGACTCCCTCCAGATGCTGTTGTTGCGGCGATGAACCTGCACCACAATGCCTGGACTCGGAAGCAAGTGGTCCAACTCGCCGTTCTTGCCTCTTTTCGGGATATCTGGCGGGGCTCTCTTGGCGCACGGACCGACTCATGCTGCCGTTCCTGTTGCTGCTCAATTCTGTCTGTTCTCGGTTGGTTACTATGTTTAAGTGTTTGTAAAGAGACAGGCAAGAAGTGTCAAGAGATTGCTCCTCAGCGATTCACTGCAGCTTTTAGCAATTGATGCAGTGATAATGAGATAGATAAGGACACAAATTCTACAAGTAGAGGTTTGCTGCTTCCTGACAGTGTTGACACTGAAGAGATACGGACTTATTTACTGCGGAGCTGTCCTCCTCCTCCCTCCATCTGTGGTGACGTTATTTTGTTTTTTTTCAATTTGGAAATCCCGGGTTGGTCACTCCCCCAAGCCAGGAATACTCCCCCCTACAGTCAGTGGATATGAATTATTCATAATAGCATTACGGTATCGCAGGCTGGGTGGGTGGGAAAGAACTTGCAAAGGAAAAAAAATATCAAAATGCTGTATTTAGAATCGTGTTTCGTATTTGAAAGCAATCTGAAGTTTTGAATATTTGTTGTATAGTAAATTGTTAAAATGTCCATTGTTATTGCCTGTCTGCCATTGTTATGTAATGTTGTGAATCTTACGGTGGCGTCATCAGTAGATGACGCTGACGTGTGCAGTAATTTAACCGCAGTAAAAATAACACTTAATGGTCGCTTACTTACTCGCTATATTTTCGATTGTCCGTTTTTCGGACAACTTCAAACTTTGTACTAAATGCAACTGTAATGGTTCTGATGCCAAATCTACATAAAGTCTCTTACTTGTAATAGTTCGTTTCTAATTGAAAACTGGAGCAATGATGACAAGGCATGCAAACTACTCATCGTCCCTTTGTTAGCTCCCTTTTTTACCGTTGTCGCAAGTCATTTGCATATTTCACTTCCCACCTAAATTAAATGACTCGAAAACGTGAGTGATTATCATTATGTATTTAAATGCGTTAGTTGTGGAAGGAAGCTTCGTGTACAGCAGTTAAAACGTTAGCATTCTTCCTGCTAGCACCAACAGTCAGCAATGCACAGGCTGTGGCGGTCACGTGACCATTGCATTGCTTCTGGACCACGACCAACTGCCGCAGCTGCTGCATTACTGTCGTTGTCTCCGCCAGAGGTTCATTTGGTATTTCTACAATAAATACGTTTTCGCTAAAGAAAAAAAAAGAAAAGGAAAAAAAGGTGGCTAAACACTACACGTGTCACCCATGGCGTCTCCGCTCAAAGTTTGCATTGTAGGATCCGGAAACTGGTGAGTTTTAACAAGATCCGAGAATCGCGCGACAGCGATGATGAATTAACTGATTCAACCCGTTAGAATCCATGTGGTTCAGTTTTACGTTTCTTAAATTCTGTACGTGGACTCCTCATACTATAGCTTACCCGTTGCTAATGTGGGCTATAGCAGAACCAATTGGGTGGTTTACGGTATTGTATTGCATTACTGTATCATCATTACAACACTGACAGGAAGAGGCTCTAGTACAGTTAAGTAACTACAGTACACAAGTACCTTTTAGCGGATGGTTGTTACTACAGAGAATACAAAAAAGCAGTAGCAGAGCTGTGCTGTAACACCACCCCAAAAAGCCAATTTACAGAAAACTAAATCTTTGCTAACTGTATGCATTATTGGCATAAATTAGGCATTCTGTCTTTGCCTAAGTATTTAGTTGAAGTGAGGTACGGACTGAACCAATGTAAAAACCGACCTCTGTTTTGTTTCCAGGGGCTCAGCCATTGCCAGGATCATTGGAAATAATGCAAGGTCATTGCAACATTTTGCGACCACCGTGAAGATGTGGGTGTTTGAAGAAAATATAAACGGTCGAAAACTCACTGACATTATCAACACTGAGCATGAGAATGTCAAGTACCTGCCTGGATACAAACTGCCTGATAATGTGGTAAGGCAATCATCTTTTAGACCGTTTCGTTTTAAAATTAATGTGTTTCACACACGCAGTGACAGTATTTTAGTTGCCTTGTCTCTCTCAATCTTTTAACACTGTCATCTCGCCCCAGGCAGCCTCATCTCCTACCCAAATCATCCAAATGCATACTTAGGCTAAAGTGCAGTACCTTCCTTGCTTGTGCTGCTTGCATTTGAACTGATCATACATGTCAAGATTTTTCAGCTTCAAATCAGCAAATCAAATCATCACAGTGTAACTTGCATATTTTCTGTGTTGACAGGTGGCTGTTCCTTCGCTTCGTGATGCTGCTGAGGGAGCAGACCTTCTGGTGTTTGTGGTTCCCCACCAGTTCATCAGGAAACTGTGCGACGAATTAGTCGGCTGTGTTCCAACAAAAGCTCGGGGAATCACTTTAATAAAGGTAAGAGCAATAACTCCACTTTAATACTAAACTACAAAGGGCCCAGCCCTCCCACTGACAGTGGCTATTTGGCTCAAACATCAGCTCATGAATACCCCCCCCCCAATGACACACACACTTGGAGTGTTGCAAGATGTGTGAGTTCAGCACATTCCACGGAGTGAGTGTTAATTTCATACACTGTCGGACAAATCCTGATGCTCACACACAAGATGTGAATAAGGCTGATTGGCCATGTTACCATTTGTAGGGCTACATTGTAAGTATGTCAGTGTTATTCGTTTAGAAGTGGGAATAGAAAACTCAACTATCAAGAGCGAGAAATATTGTGAATTGTACACTCATGGTTCCCAAAAATGTATTTATGGCACTGGAAAGAATATGCTAGCAAATGCAGCCAACTTTTCGGTGTATGCTGGTAAAAATGTCATCTGGTCGCACTTGGTAGTAGGTGGGGAGCATAGGGATAACTGCAAAGGTGCACATACTGTGTGTCAACTTGTATACATGAAATAAAATACTGTACCTAAGTCGGGATGTGTACTTTGCCATCTAACTCAACTCGCATTTGTTTTATAAAGGACGGCTTCCCTTTCAGCTCTCTCCCGTGAGCGTCTGACATCTCAACAGTGGACAGTAGCTACTCAGTCCATAGTATCTAATTAAGATTATGAAATGCCATTCATCAGATTTTGTTGTGTTCAACGCACACATAAATTGGCTTTAAAAAATATATATAATAATTTCTCTCTGAAGTGACAGGCTGCCTACATTTTGATCAGGGACTTTTTTGAGCTATTATCTGCGATACATTTTCACTATTGATTTAATGACTAAGATGAAAGCCAAGACAACACTTTGCCAAACAAGGTCTGTGTGTGCCCACATGCAAGACTAAGACTGAAAGTCTTCACCGTATCCAGGTAAAAAAGCTGATTGAAAGAATGTGGACAGACTCATTAATTGGGCAGTCAGATTTATAGTATCGGTGCAACACTAGAACACAGCTGTTGGTGTATACAGTGCAATGCAAGCCAACTTTTTCAAATACCTCTCACCAAGAAAAATTGCACTACGTCACTCAGTTCGTCCAATTCGCCTTTTTTGGGGAACATTTGAAAGCATTATTTTTGAGAAATGAGATGCTTGGCCCTTCCATATGCTTTTCTTTCAGGGGATAGATGAAGGACCTGAGGGCCTCAAGCTGATCTCTGACATTATTAGAGAGAAGATGGGCATTGATGTCAGTGTTCTCATGGGCGCCAACATCGCCAACGAAGTGGCAGCTGAGAAGTTCTGTGAAACCACCATCGGTAAGCAGAAAAAATGTGAATGAAAAAGCATTACATACTGATGTCATAGAAGGATCAGATCTGACCGTGCAGTATAGTGTGAGTTATAATACTTCATTGCTAAATGTCATACGCAAACTAAATACAGTATCATGAAGGGAAACACAAGTACGATGCAAAGACCTTGAGCAGATCTGAGAATTGAAGGGGCTGTGTTCAATCATGGTTTGGACAGTTTATTCTAAGAAATATAAAATCATACCGCTAAGACTATTAACCTGGATGGCTTTAGTGTGTTTGGCTTTTCAAAGCTGACCCTTAATTCAGGAAAACCACGATTCGAAAGATAGAAAACACATCTTTGAAATACCTCATCTGTGTTGTTAATTTTGAAAAAGCTATCCTGTCTTTGTTAATTTGTCATGTGCATACTTTTCGAGGCAGTTGATGTCCTTTTGTGTTAACCTGGACTTTATATGCAGGCAGCAAAATTCTGGAGAATGGCCTACTATTCAAAGAGCTCTTGCAAACTCCCAACTTCCGGATCACAGTGGTGGATGATGCAGATACTGTGGAGTTGTGTGGCGCTTTGAAGGTACGCACAATACTAATACAAGTTCTCACTCATTCAGTTATAGTGCTAAATAATGATTGAGATCAACTGCACCACCGCATTTCTGAGGGTGTCTGTAGTTTTTTGCAGCGTTCGCATGAGCTGACTAATGACTTTGTTTGGAAGATGAGAAATGTGAAAGCAGCCTTAGCGCTGCCTACTCTTTTGTCCATCCATTATCTACAGCTGGAACCTATCCAGTCTGACACCGGGCAACGCATTGCATCGCCTCTCCATTTAAAAAAAGAATTCATATACACATGCCAAATTGCTGGAAGAAAAGTATACAAAGCATCATACGTACTTTTCATCAGCAACCAGCCCATACCTCACCTGGGATAAGTGATTTTTACACTGCTCAAAACATAAAGGAAGCCCAAATCTCAATGAATCAAGTATTACAGATAAAACTCTTTCTTGGTTTCAAAGTGTACTTCATGGAGAACAAGCACAAGTGAATTCAGAATCATACTCAGCATCAAAGTGGAAAAAGGAGGTCATGGGCTGATTCCAACAAACTAACCCCCCCCTATCCCACCCCATAATATATTTAATTGGGCATGAATTCTACACAGATTTTTGCTTTTTATGGGTCATCCTGCTCCCTATCTTCCGCGATTAACGGGGTTCACGTTCTGAAAACTAATCGGATAATTCCTTTGTCTTCTTGTCTGGGTCAGAACATTGTGGCAGTGGGTGCAGGTTTCTGCGACGGGCTGCGTTGCGGTGACAACACGAAGGCGGCTGTGATTCGTCTGGGCCTGATGGAAATGATAGCTTTTGCCAAACTCTTCTCTAAGGAGGACACCGTTTCCACAGCGACCTTCCTCGAGAGCTGTGGTGTCGCTGACCTTATCACGACCTGCTACGGTGGCCGAAATCGGCGGGTGGCAGAGGCCTTTGCCACGACAGGCAAGGTACAGTAAGATGACATAAATCTGGTGGATGTTTCAAATAAAAACGATAAAGGATGAGTTTAATCTGCTTGTGCCTCACCGACCGCATCTCCCAAGACCATTGAGGAACTGGAGAAGGAGATGCTGAATGGTCAGAAGCTCCAGGGTCCCGCGACCTCAGCTGAGGTCTACCACCTACTCAAGCAGAAGGGCCTGGTGGACAAGTGAGTGTGCAGCTTTTTTCTCAATCGACGGTCGGTATTGAATTGTCCCTTGCAAATGTGATCATTTAATTATCAGTAGCCAGGAAGGTTGCTCGGTCCTTAATGCAAAGAAATAGCTGATGCCAAACCACATACGGAATGAATACACTGGTCAACAGTAAATTTTCATCAGAGATGGCTTTATGTATCCCTAAATGTATTTTTGCCACTGATTCAAAAAAAAAAAAATTCCTTGCACATTAGGTTTTTGATATATTTTCATTTTCATTTTTTGTCTTCAAGTTTAACCTACACTGTCCACTGTAATTCTTGACAACCCGAGTTAAGATGTGTTCTAATAAAGTCCTTTTTTTCTAAATAATATAGGACCAAAATAAAAAAAAGAAGAAGAAAATGAGGAAAATAGAACATTTAATTCAAGTGCATTCAAAGAAATTCCACATTATTTTTTAAATATTTTCTTCACACTCAAATCATGTGTGCAAAATTATTAGCACCCCTGACATTAATATGTTGTACAACCCCTTTTGACCCCAAAACCAAAGCCTAATTTTCTCCAATAATGTTTCATAAGATTGGGAGACTGCAGAAAGAGTAATCTTCGAGCATTCATCTTTGCACAATCTCTCTAAATCATCCCGCGACTTGGGTCTTCTCTTCTGCTCTCTGCTCTTCAGTTCACTCCACAGTTTTTCAATGGGGTTGAGGTCTGGGGACTGGGATGGCTGTTGGAGGAGCTTAATTCTGTGTCTGGTACAATTTTCAGTATGAGAGTATTCTTCTGCAATTAAAAATGATGACATTATTATTTTAAGGCTTTTAACACATCTTAACCAGGGGTGCCAGTAATTATGCAGGGCTTAACCACAATCCACCTCAGTTCAACCAACGAGTGAAACCCTACTTTTTCAGATTGTGCTGAATATTTTGTGTATGTCCTAGCATGGAAGGCCCAATTTCAGCTTGATCGGGTTAATCTTTTCCAATATATTGCAATTTTATTTATTTATTTTTTTCACTTTTTCGTGAAAAATGGCCCTGCAGCATCTCTACGTTGAAATTTGTTGACCAATGATATTTTTGTTAATAATTTGAATTTTGGGCCCCGCATCAGACAACTGCAGCTCCATAGGTGTGCGTGCTTACTATAGTGATTTTGAAGCAGCAACATGTAATTATATGCACTGGTGTATAATGCCACCTACCGTAGCTTTTGAATGTAACTTCATGTCCTGTCTCCAGGTTCCCTCTTTTCTCGGCGGTCTATCACATTTGTTTTGAGGGGAAACCGGTCCAGGAGATGATCTCTTGTCTGCAGTGCCATCCAGAGCACATGTGATAACTGCATGGACGTCAGCAATTTTCCATGCTAATCATTTCTTTCTTTAGCGCGATGAAACCGCTGTCCTTGGTTATGCTTCAAGGCAAGTCACGACAGTATGGTCAATATTTGCACTCTGTTGAAGGCTATTGTAATTTGATCAAATAGTGAATATTCCAGTGTACTGGTCAAGCGATATTAAACTTAACATGAAGGATACTTTCTTTTTTGATGCAAAGAAATTTACACAGGAAGGACTCAAGGTAGTAACAGTTGAGAATAACATGACTACATACGAAACTTAACTAACAGATGAAAAAAAATACACCTACAGATGTGGTTTGCTTTTAGTTTTTGTAAGACATATTTACTTCTTTTTATAACAAATATTTACTACGCTTTTTATTTCCTGAATTGTTTTGTGCATTTTTACAAGGTATATTGCATTTTGTTATAAAACATAAATCAAGCCTCTGTCAGTCTGCTGCAGTGAGGTGTATTATGTGTGAGCCCCCATTGCACTATCCAAACCTGCTTTTTGCTTAGACCCTTGAGGTTTTTTTATTTTTATTTTTTTAAAGGACAAATTGTCAGTTATCACATGTCCCTTCCAGTACAATTCTTCCCTCAGGTCTGGATGAAAGCTATAAAATGGCCAATCTTTGACTCTTCAGCTAGAAATGAAATATTTAAATGCTTGTTTTGTAGGAAGGTATTCTCACCTTAAAGCTTTCACAATGATGTACACTCCCAAGTTAATGTTTAAAGTTTGTTTCACAGAATTGTAGTGTCAGTTGGCCTACCAGAGCTGCTAATGCTCATATGCTCAAGACAACAAAAACTCCAGCTGTTATTCCACTGCCAGACCGATGGTGCATAATTGTCTTCTGGATCTCTTTGTTTACAGTATGTCCTGGACTGAATAACAACAAAGAAGCCATATTGATTCACAGTACTGAATAAGAAGTTATGTATGATTTGTCTGTCATTCAGATTTGTACGATATTTATATGCCTTTACTTCTCAGGAAAATCAGTTTCAATGTTGCCTATTGTGAAAAGTATCTCAAGAGAAAAAAAAAACACATATCATAATCAACACGGTCCTGATTGCATCCCATTCAGGAGTTTTCGGGAGCTGACTGTCCACTGCTTTCTGTCTGAGGTATGGCACTAAAACAATCATATAATGCCTATCACTCATTAAGTGTTTGCCTTTATTACAAAACTGCTCTTACACATTTTTTTGGTGTGTGTGTTTCAATAGTCTCCCTGAACATATATGGAACGTATGCTGCAGAATAAAATGTGCATATGTACCACTTCTCTGTTTTTGTCACTGTGTGGGTTTTTTTTTCTGCAATGTATTTGATTTGAATAAAAAGTTAAAATTTATGCATTTTAATGTGTGGTGACAACAGCTTCCTTCCTTTCAAAGTAAAGCCCCATGGGGCAGATTTGGCCTGCCACGGCCCCCAAAGCAAATAGTGTGTCAACTTAGTGTTTCTTCAGATACAAAACTAATTTAGGTGAATAACAATTGCCTGAAATTATAAAATAATAAAATCAGAAAAATACAATGGCAATTCCTACGCTTTTCACTTGATGACCACTGCAACGTACGGTACAGTAAAGACGTCCATCAGCGAAGGCTCCTCCCGTCCAGCTGGAGGCACTAAATGGCGAATATTTCGCCAAAGAAGAAACCGGCGAAGACTGAAGACACCAACCAGCAGGCAGCTAATACGAGCACCAGGCAAGGCAATGCAAACTCCAGTCAGCAGAGTAACAACAGTGCAGTATTTATCTCCTAAAGACTTTCACTTGCCAGTTTAATACTACCTATTAAATGTCTTTCTTGTGTCGAACCAACAGTAAGGATGAAATGTAACGTTCTCAACGGCTAGTTGGAGCCATGACTTGGTGCATTTAATTCTAACGCAACAAACAGGAATGACAGTTGCACCTATTACGTAATATAGTTGTTTGGGCTGGACTAATATTGGTCATGTATTCAATTCCTTATTGCGAGAATGAATGTGTTTAAGACAATAACATCCTTGTCAAACGTAGTTTATGCTATCTCATCTCATCAATGCATGCCATAACTTGTCACGCAGGTGGCATATGTTCGACTTCCAGAATGTTGATATGAAGTGACTAAACTTTTACTTCTCTTGAAAAGTGTCTTTTTTTTTCAATTGTGTCGTATGAGTGGCTTTCGATATTAATGGTGGGAAAAGTTTTTAACTGATCTATCTTGCTCTAATTTATTATCTAACAAGTTTGAACAGAACTGTGTCGACTTTAAATATCCATTGCACTGTCATTTGTGACGGTAGGACTGCTGTTGGAGCCGTTGCTGAGATCATGAGCTAAAGTTAATCTGTCCACCACTCAGCATCAACTATGTCTGTCCACTGCCTCCTCCGCTGCACCATCAGGTAACTGGAGCGCGTTGGACTATTCAGAACAAAATCAATATTAAGGTTAGGTTAAAAGAGGTGATGGCTTTTATCTCGAGAGCCACATGAACTACAGTTAGGTTAAGTTGATATGTATTTTATACACTTGGGTGCTTTTGAAATAAAACAGATGATCGAGCATAGACATAAATCTGTACAAAGAGATTTCACCGATGCATGACATGTCATGTCATGGAGCATTCTAGAGTGATGTGAATTTCATGCAGAGTTCATCTATTTTGTTGAGGGGCTTAAAAATAGAAGAACAAAATGTGAATTAATTGTAAATCTTTAATACTTCATTGAAACCTATTGACATCACCGATGGACAAACAAGTAGCCCAAAACCTCAATTGCTGCTTGTTTGTGGGTCTTTTTCCTCCTTACTTACTCATTTTAAAATACACAGTAGCAATTCATTATTACATTTCTATACTGTACTCTTTGTTTTATTTCCCTTTGCTATGTGACACACATACAATTCTGATTCTGACTCTCGCTGAAGCTCTTGAGTCATGAACATACGATGACATACATACATAAGTGATTATGTGGATTGCAACTGTGTGTATCGAGCAATTTCCGTGTGATTGACTGGTAACTGTTCGAGGAACTATGCTGTGTCTCCCCCGAAGTCTGGTGGGATCGGCTCCAATTACCTGTGACCTTAATGAGGACAAGCAGTATAAAATATGGATTGATGTATGTATTGAACCAGTTCATGATGATATATCAGAGAACACTACTTTCATTTCTCTTCCTTGAAACTGAACAACATGAATTAGAATGTGCTACAAGGGAAAGCACTTCTCTTAGGTTGGCATATTAGTGTATAACATTTTTTTGTAGTGTGTGTGAGTGTTCAGTATTTCTATGCTACTGTTTGAAGAAGTTTCTCTGTTCATGTTTTGTTTTGTTTTGTTTTTTTCTGTAGACTGGAAAGAAAACATGTAGCCACACATTTATTCCTGCAAAGAGCTCTGTCTGGAGCAGACGCTGTCAATGCTCTCAGACCATTTTACTTTGCCGTCCATCCTGACTTTTTTGGTCAATATCCCAGGGAACGGGTAAGTCAGTCATTCATGCATCCAGAATTTTGCGTTTCCTTGACCATGCCACAAATCCATCATGATTTGCTTTATAAACATGTGCCTATGAGTATAAGGTAGAATCTGGATGATTGAATGCAGTGGTTCTCAAGCTTTTTTTTATTGAAATGCCCCTCCCCCCACTTTGGAGGATGCACCCCACAACGCAATATCTATTGTAACAAAAGTGGTCGAGGTTAACTTTTATTAAGGGGTAAAAAAAAAAAAAAAAGAAAATTTATTTGATTTAGAAGAGCAATCCAATTGGCATGAATGTCAGTTTCCGACAAATCAAAAATGTTTATATTATTTATTAAAATGCGATACTGCATCTTTCCACTGAATTACCAACAATTCCTAGTCAATGATCACAATCCTCATGAAAAGTTTCCGACGTGGAATATTTCCAAAATTGCCCAACTTAAATTGCCATGGAAATTTATCCGAAACTTTCCATAAATTGAGTGAAAAATGTCTCCCCCTTTGCAGCCCTAGTCGTGATGAGCAACACAAAGTCTGTGCCAGCTGCCACATAGACGATTGGTGGAACAACCTGGCTTTGCCATTCCGTGTCACTGCTGTTTATACTGGACAGGACAGGAAGATGGAAAAAGCCACAAATAGTCTTGTTTTTTGCATTGGAGACAAATTGGGCAGTTACCTGCCAGACCCATTGGATGGAGTTGTGATGAAATATAGTGTGTGTATGGCAGTGGGCACCCACTCTGTAATTCTCTTCACCACCACCAACAAGACAGAAGTAGAACCATCGAATCAGGAACTCCATGACACCATGGTGGCACTCTGCTGAATGGCATTTTAGCAAAATTTGTAATGCCAGATTTCATAGAAATTCCTTCCTCGAAATCTTGCTGTCCCCAAAGGATTTGTCCAATGTTTGTAACGTCACGCCGCTGGAGGCTCGTTGCATCATATTTGTATGAGGTGTTTATGGGTTTGATTTGATTTACAGGAAGTGAATGAAAATTCCTTGAAGAGGTTAAATGGCTATTTGGAAAATCTCCTGAAACCTGGCTCACGTTCAATTCAGCCGATGAAGCTCACTTTTTATGTGAGAGACACAAAAGACAGCAGTGACATGCAGCAAGATCTTCTGACCTCAGGTACAGATTTTATACTGCAATATTGGCCACCGTATCCATCTGTTGTCTTACTATAGAAGCTTGAAACATTCTTACTTGGTTTAAGGGTTCCGTTCAGTGAGCTTTGTCTTGCGCACCAGCGATGTCCTGAGCACAGTGACGAACGTGTTGAAGTCCTGCAGTCTGCCCATGGAGCACATGAAGGAACTTGAAGCAGTTGCTAAATCTACTCAAAGTCCAGCTGAAGCCGCCGTTCCTTTCTCCAGACCCATCAAGTGGGATAAGAGCTACTATACCTTCACTGGCTTCAGAGACCCTGAGGTGGAGCTGCAGCATGCCGCAAGAGTTGAACCGACTCTCAAGTTAGTCACGCTGGGCTCACGCGTCACGATGGAAACTAATTTGTTTGACTGACTGATTTGCTTATACTGTACACACATAGTTGAGTCGCGAGACAAGTGGCTAATTGACATAATACCCGCCTCCACGCTGAATTTCTCTGTCAAAGATTTGGCAGTCTGCCACTTTAAAACTATGGCCAGGCTACACTGTCTCAATAGTCACATTAATGTAAGGTTGATAAGACTAAAACATATTAGTAATAAATACCGTACTGTAACAATAAAACTTTACCTTTTGAAATAGGAACTGTAAACTTGAGGTGATGAATAGAAGGGGCGACTGGGGCAGATGGTTGTCAACCTGATACGCATCGTCAGTGACGTTCTATAAGCCATGTTTTCTTCAGCATGGTTTTCTTCTACATCTGAGGAGGTTTCAAAAAAACAGGCAAAAAAGTCTTCTTTTTTTTTTTTAAGTAACATGGGTTTTTTGGTGTATTTTAACACAGATGATAAGTCAGCTTTCAAAGAGGACTACAGAAATCTGACAATATATACTGATGAGAGACTAAAATTCTGAGGTTTTTGACAATTCAAACAATGGCTCTAAACGATTAATCGATGATCAAAATTATTTAGTTCAGTATCGATCAGGTGTCCATTAATCGTTGCATCTCTTATTAAATGTTTTCAACAGTTGTTGACACAATGACGGTGGGGGGAATTTGGGTTTGGCAATATTTCCGCTGAATTCCTCACATAAGCGGAAGCTCATGCACTAATTGACAACTGTGATTCTGTGACTTGATTATGAAGTGCTGTCTCCATGAGGGAAAATACAATTCGTGCTGTCTTTATCAGGGCTCACGTTTTTGTTTTTGCGGTTCACCCTTGCTCCTTTTTTTGTTTTGTTTTTACTTTTTTTTTACATGAGGCTCAACAAACAGGTGATGAGGAGTAACCAAAACACTTCACTCTCTGTTGGTGACTGCTGGCATAAACTGGCATCTAAATGTACGTAGTGTAATTTTATCTTTTCTTTGGCAGCATGTGGCTTCAAAACAATGAGTCAGAAGCGACGAAGAAGCACAATGATAGTCTTCCTCGGAGAGAAGAACTCAAACGGTTGAAAAAGGAACTGTGCCAAAAATTTGACCTGGCAGACATCAGGTACACTCATCGTTCACTGGTTCGGAATAACTCCAGAAAAAAATGCATGCAAATATCAAATCGCCTTGAACCAATACAAAAACAGATTAAACTGAGAGCGACAAAATATGAGTTGCCAATTTTAGGACTTGTGACTTGTTTGGCTAAAACTTAGGAAAAACACAGCATCACTTTGATATATTAATGTCATTCTTTCAAACATGGCAACTTACTGCATGCTAGACTTGCTGCTTCCCCAATGTAATCTAACTCGCTTCAAACCGTTATTTACAAACCCCAATTCAAATTCAGTTATCAGCATGAAAAGGATATTGCAAAAAACAAAACAAAACAAAACACTGATTCACGGACTTAGAGCATGTTTTATTTTGAATACAAAAAACATCAAACAGGCATCCTACTTTTTGTTAAGATATTGTAAATAGCACCAAACTGATTTTTTATGTTTTACATGAGGCTCAACAAACAGGTGATGAGGAGTAACCAAAACACTTCACTCTCTGTTGGTGACTGCTGGCATAAACTGGCATCTAAATGTACGTAGTGTAATTTTATCTTTTCTTTGGCAGCATGTGGCTTCAAAACAATGAGTCAGAAGCGACGAAGAAGCACAATGATAGTCTTCCTCGGAGAGAAGAACTCAAACGGTTGAAAAAGGAACTGTGCCAAAAATTTGACCTGGCAGACATCAGGTACACTCATCGTTCACTGGTTCGGAATAACTCCAGAAAAAAATGCATGCAAATATCAAATCGCCTTGAACCAATACAAAAACAGATTAAACTGAGAGCGACAAAATATGAGTTGCCAATTTTAGGACTTGTGACTTGTTTGGCTAAAACTTAGGAAAAACACAGCATCACTTTGATATATTAATGTCATTCTTTCAAACATGGCAACTTACTGCATGCTAGACTTGCTGCTTCCCCAATGTAATCTAACTCGCTTCAAACCTTTATTTACAAACCCCAAATTCAAATTCAGTTATCAGCATGAAAAGGATATTGCAAAAAACAAAACAAAACACTGATTCACGGACTTAGAGCATGTTTTATTTTGAATACAAAAAACATCAAACAGGCATCCTACTTTTTGTTAAGATATTGTAAATAGCACCAAACTGATTTTTTATGCATGCACCTAATTGTGATTGTCAGTACTGTATGGAGGAGACTTACTGTACACAGGAATGATTACCTCCACCATTAGAGTAATTCGACTGGGTTTTGGAGTTAAAAGAAACAGTGCATTTTCTTTTTCTTGTTTCGTTTTTAAATGAACATGGACCAAAAATAATTGTCTCTTAGGCGGGCTGGAACAGTTGACATTTGACTTCATTTTAAGACGGGATGAGTGCGCATCAGCCCACAGCAAATTTAGCATGTGTTGCCATATTACATGAGGTCCAATGTGCAGGTGGCAGCGCAGTTGGGGAGTGACCCACAGGCGCTCTCAGCTTCAGAGTCTGAATCGACTGGCTGTGCAGAATCCAGAGGCCATGCTCAACCTGCAAGGTAAAAAAAAAAAAAAAAAAAAAAACTGTCATTGGGGCCATGATCAGCTCATTCAATGTGATATCAATCTGTCTGTTGGAACAGCGGTCAACGCTGCCTCGGTTGAAATTGTTGTGGTCTATTACAAGCATATACTACTAAATGTTAAACTGTCATGGTGCGGTAGTATCCCTTCTTTTCTGATTTATGGATGTCACACTACACTAACATTAAACATTTTGCCAAGTCAAGGTAGGCTATCCTGACCTAAAAGGATTCAATGCTTTAATTAAAGGAACGATTGTGTTGCCGCACATAAAATGTTACAACGTGAGGGACAATCTTGAGCTGCCTGAAAATTGTAGATGTGTATCATATGCACAGTAAAACCAATGATAGCACTAACCAATTAATCTGGGTGTTTACAACATGCCATACAGAAAGCCGTTGCCGTGTCGGGCATTTTGACATAGGGGCAGAATAAGTACATATTACACTAAGGGTGTTTTGTTTTGTTTTTGTTTTTTTCAGTGGCTCAATTCATAATCACCATCAGGTGCCTTCCGTGGGCGCATTCGAGAATGATATAAAAACACCTCACCTCTTGCCTATGCCACTTGTCGAATGCACTACGACAACTGGAGTTCCTGCTTCTGCGGGGGTTGAAGTCGCATTTGCCGAAAGAAAGATCATTGGCACGGGAGCCGGTTTCAGCCTGGGTCCAATTAACACTCGTGCACCCGATGCGATCTGCTCAATGTTTGCTGAAACAATATTTCTTTATCCCTTGGAATGTTGAAGAAACTTTTGCCACTCGCTTCACCATTAGTGCAACCAACTGCTACACAATGAAAGAACCATTAAGTGCTAATAAAGCACATGGAGAGCAACTGAACGCGAAGAGCAAACAACTGCATGCCACAGTAGCCACTAAACAGCTCCGCAAATACCCGAAGACAACATGATGCGAGATTGAAACCGCAGATTTGAATTGTACTTTGTGATTGAACTGCTGATTACCAATTATCTAATCACTTTTTAGTGACAGCTATGCATTGTAAAGGGGTTCTTGAGGGGAAAACATTCCAATCTTTGTTTTCTGACCTCTAAAGGGAAATGTTGTACCGCCGTATCTTGTCATCCAAAAACAATTTCCACTTGATGATGAATGAGCTCATGTAAATTCCTTTCCTTTTATCATCCAGGTTACACCGTTGTGTTTGCTGACCAATCCGGGATGAACGCCTCTGGCCATGTCATGCTGGGAACTGCGGATGTTCACCACCAGTGGACCAAAGTAATGCGCTTACTTCCATCTGCCTTGAGGCATGTTAGATCTCCCCTCCGTGCTCACCTGCGGGGCTCGTGTGCTTCACAGATGTTTGAGCAGCTTCCCGCCTTCCGTATCCTGCAGCAGCAGACAGAGTGGCTCAAGGAGAGGATCAGTCTCCTCCTGGGTGGGACTCGAGTCGTTCACACAGAGAGGCTGGGACCGGTGGAGCCCATCACAGAGCTCTATGGCACTCTTTACACCTTCCATAACAATCTGATATCGCAGAGGCTTTGTCTCCACCCCAGAAGCCTCGAGGGGCTCAACATGATATTGGAGAAGTAAACGCTCTCATTTTTTAATGATCAGTGTGGCCTGGACATTCTCGATGAAGTTGACATGATTTGTCTTAATTTCCATCAGGGGCCACTCGAGCCCCAGCCTTCATGAGATGGGGCACTTCATCATACCTACCAACTGTGACCCGCCCAAGCTGCGGGCTTTCCTCCAGAGCCACGCACCCAATGCCAGACAACGCAGTCAACGAAAAAAAATGTGAGTCGTACATAAATAAAGCAAAACTAATTTTGGTTCATTAGTTGTGTGAACAGCTAACTTCTTTGAAATATCAAGAAGCACCTGTTTTTACCAAAACTAGTTATTTCTCAGGAATAATCAGGCTCAATAAAAATAACCCCAAATACTTATTTGACACGTTCAGAGGGAGACCCCCCTCTCCGAAGGCCACTCCCTGCAGCGTTTTCATCTTGTTAAATGGATTTTTATATCATTCTGGCAAACATTGTTTACCAATATTGTGTCGGAACGTTGCACACTCGGCATCCGTTGCAGCCTGGCCATCCTGGAAGGGGGATTCTCCCATCTGCGGCCCCTTCTCAAGGTTTCTCGTTTTCCCCCAGATTATTTTATTTTTTTTTTTTTAGATTTTCCTTGCCCTCCTGGTCAGGGAGTGTCGTGATTACTTGTCAACTGTGGGCATGTGAAGGCCTTTAGGATCTGTTTGCAATTCAGGGCTATATAAAATAAATGTGACTTGACTTTGTGTATGCGCAGGCTGCAGGCAGAAGAGGAGGCTGTGATGAAGATGTGTCTCCAGAGTCTTTCTCTTCGGGGTCTTTCCAAGGAGCCCAGTGTCACCTCCAGCCAGATGATTCTTTGCTGTAAAAGGCTGTTACAGCAGCGTTCACCCCTCTTGCTGGGCCTCCATATTTGTGTTTCTCACTTCTACTCAGTAATGCAGGACGGAGACCTCTGCATTCCTTGGGACTGGAAAGGTTGAACCTGAGGAGATTCAGTAAGTCCGCAACGTACCGTTTGCAGTTTCGTTTGTACCAGGTAACAAGTATTTTATAGCAGTTTAATAATGTGAACCTACATCTGTTGCTAGTCAACAAGAATTGAAGGAGAAACAATGTAGTATTAAAGCTAGTCAGTTCACATTGAGCTAACTAAATGGTCGTTTAGTCCACTGATATTTTAATAAATGATGAATCATTTAGGAAGCAGCACTTTATTCTTTGCTGAAGATGACCAAATAGAGGATCTCTGTCAGTGTGTAAACTAAATAAGTTTTGCCATTGCTTTACTTGAGTATTTGGGAAACGTGATGATTCAGCCGCAAGTCTGTAACATTGGTTGTGTTCAGGTGGGATCAGTCAAGACAATGTAAATTCAACCTAACAGTTAGGTCTGTTCGATTTTGTACTTATGTACACGTGGCTCAGTCCGTTGGCAGTTATTTGGACACACGTGGCAGTGAACTGTTCCCTATTTTGTGCACTTTATTGTGGAATTTAGTTTTTAACCAAAATAAAAGTTGCCTTATTCAACTGATCTGTTTGGGATTAAACCGTGGCTCGTTGTCTCTCTCTCATCTACCAGTTATATTGTCAAATGTTTAGCAGCTAAATTTGATTATTTTGGATTCAGTCAAGCCCTTTTGAAATGTGACCTGTGAAAAGAACTATAATCAATCAAATGTGTGAGCATTAGTAGTGGCAGTACATCCGCCTCACAGTGGAGGTGTTGAGTTTGAATGTTGGCTCAGGACTTCCTATGTGAAGTTTGAATTTTCTCCACCTCAAAAGGTGTGTGAATGTGGGTGTTGTGAGTGAGTGAGGATCCAGGTCAGCTAATAACCCTAATTAGGAGAAGCGCTATACAAAAAGAGTGCATGGAGTTATTTCCTCAGCACATATCATTCATATACTGTGCTCATCTGGGTTTCTACATGCATTGCTGTATTTACAGTTCTGGTGATAAATTTACATACTTCGGACAAAATTTGTAAAATGTGTCCCATTATGTCAAAGTCAAACACATTTTATTTTTAATGGGATTAAAAATAAACGAAGGCATTTCACCATCATGGAACAAAACAGCAATAAAGAAAATGAGAATGGTCCCAGCATGTTTAAAATATTTAAACTGTATTGATACTTCACATATTTGAGACAAAGCGTACAACAGTACACATTTGCATAAAACTGATTATAAAACCTTATACAGTAACATTCATCAACATCGCCTTCTGAGAGAAGCTAAGAGGCTTGTGTTGGTGACATAGAAGACGGCTCTCACTTGACTTGTAGGCTTTTGGTTGACTCGGAGACTCTTCTGCTGGAGGTGCTGACTGTGTAGCTGAGTTATTCAAACTGGAGAAAAACTGGGTCGCACTATGATGCTCATCTTGTCTTCTTATTAGTTGAAATAGATTTATGGTTTCTTTTTTTTTAATCAGCCAGTGCTTTTTTTTTTTTTGTGAAGGAAAAAAAAAACCTCTTACCAAGCCGAAAATTTCGGCTGTCACTTCAGTCTTTGTTGGAGCTGTCACTGCTTCTTTGTGACATGTCAAAAAAAAACAAACAAACAGCTGACTGGGTTGGGAAATCTTCAAACTACCGGCGTGTTAAGGCTGCGAACCAACCTCCCTGCCGTCCCCATTGAAGCAGTGTGTCCCTGTTGATGGTGCCATCTTCGACGTGCAGGCTGACATGCTAACTTTCAACTGACTGGAATGTATCCATCCATCCATTTTCTGAACCGCCTTATCCTACCAAGGGTCGCAGGGGGTGCTGGAGCCAATCCCGGCCGTCTTCGGGCAGTAGGCAGGGGACACCCTGAACTGGTTGCCAGCCAATCGAAGGGCACACAGAGACAAACAACCATGCACGCTCACACTCACAATGAGGGACAATTTAGAGTGTTCAATCAGCCTGCCATGCATGTTTTTTGGAATGTGGGAAGAAACTGGAGTACCCGGAGAAAACCCACGCAGGACCGGGGAGAACATGCAAACTCCACACAGAAACCCACGACCTCTGCACTGTGAGGTCGACACTGGCTGCCTGACTGGAATGTACCGGTTTGAAAGAGTCAAAGCAACTGATGAACTCAATCTAGCCACACAAGGACAGAATAACACTGTAAAACAAAGAGTCAAACATGGTATAGTAAATAAAATTTTATTTTTTGATTCAGACCAATAGGCAAAATGAATTAAAAATGAGGATGACCTCAGTAAGCCTCAGTCTAGGATCACTTCTCACATCCGGGAGCATTCAGATTTGCATTTCATACGGCTCTTGATGCTGAAGTCGGAAGCATAATAAATAGCAAGGCTCCTCAGAGTGAGTGTGTCAGTGGTCGAATGGGATCAAGGTGATTATGGAGGCTCATTTACGCTGGACTTGTGTGAACGATGAGGGAAGCTGGATTGGCTGCATGGGTTTCTTGCGGGAATCTGGCGACACCCTCTGGACTGCAGGAGGCAGCAGCTGGTTGCGTTTGATGATCTGCAAGGCCAGCTGAGTATTCCCTGAAGACGTGGACACAGGTGATCAGTTTTGAGGCCTCACTCGCATTTTGAACAAATGACGCTTTGGCCTGAGCGCAAAGGCTGCATTCAGACTGCAGACATCTGATTCAGATCAGATTCCCCCTCAAATCCCATTTTGGGGACTGCCTGTCCATGTAGTTTTTAGCAAGTGTACAAATCGAATTTGGCCCTGTTCAGACTGGGCCACATCATTGATGGATCTGACATGTTGCTGCAGCAACGGCATCGGAATGGCAGTGTCCTCTTTCGCGCGTAGTGTTCAACGTCATATAATTGCAATAGTGGCAGCACACAAAATACTTTCAGAAATTTACTTGTTTCAAAACATACCCTCAAGCTTTGCTTGTTTCACGGTTTTTCGCTACAGTTGTTTTTATTACATTTTTACTCTTGCGTTTTTTAATTCAGTTTGAATTACGTTTTAGAGCAAGTTTGTTTTGTTAAGTTTATTAGTTTTAATAGAGTATTTTTAAAACAGTTACAGTTAAAATATTGCGTTATAAACAAACACACACACACACACACACACACACACACACACAAAACAAAAACATCCCAAATGACTCTTCAACCTCCCTTATTGTGTACGCCTGAACAATAGCAAAATACAGCTCAATAGCAAAATACAGCTCACGTATGACACTGACAAAAACGAAGGACATTTTCTGTCCAATTCATTTTAAAAATAACAATTTTAAATAAAAATTTTAATGGCTTCTTCATTTTATTTCATGAGTTTCTTTCAATATTTATGTTTTTTTTGTTAATTTTCATTAACTATAGTAAAACTTAATTCAAATGTCTTTGCGTAGATGTCACTCTTTGAAGCCAGGGGTCACCAGCGTGAAAGGTTTTGCAGAAATGTATAGAAATAAAGTGTTGCATATTGATATTCATCTGTTTCTTTATACCGTGCAAAATCATTACCATGATCAATCAGTGTCTTCGCATGAATTATCATTCATTATTCATACAAGAGTAACATTATCAAAGGTAATTTGAGCCAATTATTCAAATTATTCTAAATCTGAGTTTGAATGCAGGCTGCTGCCAGCAATGACTGCTTTGATGCGAGCCAACGACAGTGAACTTGTTTCAGAAATGGAGGTGGCAGCTGACCATTCTGTAGCTCCAAGTAGACTCCCAACAAGATGGCTTCAGGTGGAATCTCCTTAGTGTTCACCATCGATGCAGCCTGAAGACGACAACAAACAACATGAAGTGAAATCCTGGAAGAACAGAACTTTTTAAAGCAAACTCAGCTAGGCTGTTCTTGAAAAGGCAAGTAAGTTCATCCAAACAATGTACTCTTGAGAAGCGTTACACAGGGAACCAAGATAATAAATCATGCGGGTGGAAATTAATTTAACAAGCTGCAGTACAGTGGCAAAAGAGAAATAAAATATTGGACACTGGAGACGTAAAATTGGCTATACTGATTCCCTCGCTGAGTTGGAAGTGAACCCATGACGCCGATGTAGAAAACATGTCGCTTTGCGCTCCAAGGACCAATCAATGCCATGCGCTCCAAGGACCAATCAATGCCACGTGAGAGCTGACTGCGTTTACACGGTTACCTGTTGAAGGCACTTGCGGGCTTTGTCATATTCACTTCGTAAGCAGTACGCGCTGCCAAGGTTGAAGAGCATCATGGCTCGAGCTGAAGTCACACTGCTGGGATAACAAAGGGGGGTCTGCTTGCCTGCTGCAGAGAGAGAAAATACACAAACAATGACCAAAACAAGCTCCCACTCAATCATTTTTTTTTATGCACAATAATCAGTGTCATAAGCTGCTATTTACCGTTATTCATAAAACGCAGAAGATTCTGCATTATTTTTGGGTTTGTTTGGGTTAAAGCTGAAATAAAATTTACTTACAAGATTCAACAGGTTCGTCACCCTTATCAGAACCTGCTGAGGAAAAAAAAAGATGCACATCAAATTTGGTACTTAGTAGAAAATTCTTGAGCAAATCATAAAAAAAATGACCTCTGGAAACACCATAACCAGCCTGCAGACAATGCTTAAAGTTTATACTAAATTTGAATCAAAATCGTTCTGCAGCCACACTATGGCAGGTTTATGATATTTCATTTGAAAACTTTTTCTAACATAAAAAAAAAAAAAACTCGTACAAAAGGAAAATATTTTTGAGAGTAAAAAAATCACGTGATAATGTGGTTGCGCAAGTGTGCACAAGGCCGACAAGAACAGCTGAACTTTATTTGGGGTTAATGAGCTGGACTTTATATTGTGGCAGTTTGTGACGACTCCCATTTATGATTTATGTTTGAATGAGATTTGTAAATTCCGAACACAGCAACATCCCCAGGCGTAAAAGGAAGCGCAAGTTGATGGGCTACAATTTCGAAAACTTCTTCCACAAATTAGTTTATTTTATTTTTTTTTTTTAGAACAGACCTTGTCCAGGCTAGAAAATTGTCCCTCAACAGAAGATATTTGCAGCTCCTTTCTGAACACTCAATGTAGCCATTTTATTTATAACCCTACTCATGCGAAAAGTGGCAGACCTGGGTCTTGCTCATTGGTCAGCACCCCAATAGAAACGTCGATGACATTCTCTGGGTTGAGGTGCGCGATGGCATCGGAGATCCGGTCCAATGAAATGAGGGCCTCGGCCGCGTAGAGGTGACCGAGAAACCTGTAGTCAAAAGCCGAAAGTCAAATGATTCCAATCATCAGGTCGCTACAGTGGTTGCGTTTTGAGGTCAAGAAGGACTGTAACAGATCTTACTTGAGCGATCCCGAAACCTTGGGTTGGTGGAGCAGTTTCTCAGCGTGGTTTAAAGCCATCAGGTTGTCTCCTAGTGCTAAGGCCACGTAGGCACTGCATGCCAAGATGGAGCACCTACAAGGTACAGATACGACAGCCCAATTACCTGAAGTTTTGCACTTCCTGATTTTAAAATTCTGCAACTGGCCTGTAATTCGCGGAATGGTTTGGGTCCTAAATACGTGAAAGAAAGGCTGATTAAATATAAGCCCAGCAGTGCTCTCATGTCTGTAGCCTTGGGTCATTTAGTGGAGCCCATAGTTCAAATTCAACTCTCGGAATTACTTCTGAATCAACTGTTGTTTCTAAATGCTCGTCGGTGTTTCGTTTTTGCTTGTGTGAAGAACGTAAAGCTGCCTTGTGTATGAAATAAAGCTGTCTTGCTTTGCCTTAATATTGTATTTGCCTGCACAGCCCTTAGACGGTACAAATATGACAAGTCGAATTACCTGAGGTTTTCCACTTCTTGTTTTCTGAGAGGAGACGATGGCGCCGCGGAGAGTAACCTGTCGGCCTCCTGACCTTTCCCACTGCAAAACAAATGAGGTTTGTCAGAGCACAGGAAAGAGAAGTGACGAGCATACATCGGAGTGACAACACACATGGTAAGGTTGTTCACATTCACAAACACTTGTCATTGTTTTGCGCTTTTTTTAAGTGTCAAATTTAGGATCAACGTGCTGCACACAGCTATTGAGATTTTTTTTTTTTTTTTTTTAAAGCTAGAATCGTAAAATAACATTCCAATAAATTGTGGTAGGTACATTAGTAACGTCTTCGCCATGCATGTGCTTATATTTGTACGAATATCTTGTAATACGCGTGTGTATGTCAGACCTGCAGGCATCACTGTTCTCGCTGCCACTCTCGGTGCTTCCTGACTGACTTGAGCTTTTGGAGCTGTTCTCCATCTTGACGTCCTGCTGTTGGTGTTCAGGCAGCAGCAGCAGAGAGTTCCTTAGGCAAATGGCAGCAAACTCCATACTGGCTACTGGAATGGCTGCCGACTGGCCTTCACTGTGAGAGAGACACACAGAGCAACGTAGAAAATCCAAAGAGGGAATACAATTCAAATGGTGTTAAAATTGCCCTTGCAAGTCCCATATGTATTTCTGTTGTTTTATTGTATGATAAGATGAATGATGAGGTAGTGAGCTCGAGTACTAACCTGTAAATAGTATTTTGCATGGATTGGGATGCCAACACAATCTTGCGATGGTATCCCTGTCCAACAATTGACTGAACAATGCCTTTTTTACACGGTAAACCTTTGCTCTCTTGTTCAGAACCCTGCAAGCAAACAGTGACAAGAGTCCTATTAGAGAGCAAATAGACCAGACCACAAATATACTGCAGAAGGGTCTCAATGATAAATTAGGGAAAGGTGTTCTCCCTATTAAATATGATCCAATTTTGAAAGGCTTAATATCCTTTTTTTTTTTTGTAATTCTTTACAAATGTTTAGATTTCAAAACAATAATACAAAAACACTTGTATAAAAAGGCAAAAGTGCAACACGAAAATTGGGTTAAACGCTTAATCCCAAAGGAAATCACAGAAATTTGATTTGGCATACCCCTTTATTAGCAGAGATGCAACACTCCGCAAGTCGTAGCCACAGTCGAGGGTTTGAATGGTAAACCTGCACCGCCTCAATCAGACACTCGAAGGCAGCCAGAGGCCTGCCGATGTGCAGCAGCTGGATGCCGCAATTATACAGAAGCTCATAGCGTTTGTTGGCTAGTAGAGCACACATGGGGATACCTGTGAATTTCTTGGCTACAAAGGACAAGAGAGAGCAGAAGAAAGGGTCAGTTATTAAATATAAACACAACCCAATCAATGCACTCTAAATAAACACTGAATTCAAGGGATGCTGCAATTCCAAAAATAACATGCATATTGTTGACACAGTCCTGGAGGGTGCACGCATGGGAGTTCGCCCAACCAATTGAAATGTGTTTTGTGGACTTGAAGAAGCGCTCTTCCGTTTCCCTCAGGAAATTCTTTTAGGGGAGGGGCTTCGAGAGGGTGGGATACCGAACCCCCAGATTCAACCCTTTGTTTATTTTGTGCTATTCACACCCTTCAGATTTTCGCTTAAGTCTCCACTGCAGCAGTGTGTAATTTTCAATGGGCAATCTGACAATCCACACCACGTGCCACTTTCATGCTTCCGAGGTATAAATGTACTACTAGAACCAACTTTCTGTCATTCACCTTGCCCATTGCCGCCATCGCCGAGCTGTGCACAAGTGTGGTCGTTTTCTTGTAATGCCTTCTTGAAGTAGAAAATTCCGAGGTTATGTTTCCCCATTGCAAAGTGAATGCAGCCAAGATTGTTCCAGAACATACAACGAACACATTCACCTGGGTGGGCACAATTGAAAAGGGAGATCGTAGGTAAACTACTGAAACGAGAATTACAGGACACACAGAATTTGCAACCGGAGAGTAGAAAAGGGATTCGCTCCAGCATCAGTGGCATGTGAAAACAATGTTAGAACTCGTGCAGAGAAAGACAATCATGAGAGGAAAAGTATAGTCACAGTAACCTGTTTTGATGGGTCCGGGGTGTTCGGCTATATTGGAACTGTTGAGCAGCTTCACTGCTTTCCGGTAGTTTCCTCTCAGATATTCAAAGTTGCTCTTAAGGAAAAGAGACGGCGCAGACTGACATGGAACAGGAATAAAGATTCATGAAATGTTTTTTAAAAAAAAATACATGTCAAAAGCTTTTCAGAGTTTTGATTCCTATTTTACATATCGGTATATCAAAATCAATATTGAAAAGGACAACAGGGATTCCTCGATTTACGACAACATTGCTGCAGTGGTAACAAACAATTCCCTCCAAATGTATTGGAACGGCAAGCTCATCATTCTCCTACGCACGTTTTAACAAATGAATGCTTTAACATGATAATAGTCATATTCTTATTGGACCGATTAACTTAAATTAAGTATGTTTCCTGTAAAAGAGAGTCCGTTGAATTTACAGAATACACCCACGTTATGGCGCATGGTCAAAATGGCACCACCTCTGCCTCAATTTGAGCCAGGAAAAACCTTGGAAAAATCTAAGTACGGTGGTGATCTGGCATGCCTTCTAATGCCACATGATACATTGTCATGTCGATGTCCAAACGAGTTCCTTATACGCCATTCCTCACCTCGAAACATCAGAAACATTCTAAACTGAGGCCCCCTCTTATTTAACATGTTAAGTGATCGTATATATTCCTGTGAATAAAAACAGTTCTGTAATTGAAGTACAGTATGTAGCATTTACATAGGTACCGTTTTGGCCCGAATATAAGACGGCCCTCATTATAAGACGACCCCCTCTTTTTCAAGACTCAAGTTTGAAAAAAGACTTTTTGAACACCAAATTAATTTTTATACAGAAAATAATTACAGTACATCTGAAACAAATGATTATAACAATATATTTGACAGAAAAATCATGTTATTTTGGCTCATTCAAATCTTAATATCTGAACATTTAAATATGTAAACTAAAGTGCAATCACATTCGTAAATGAATGGCTTCTGGTTTTTGAAATGTAAATTCCATCATAACTTCTCCTCAGCTGCCGGTTAACCTGGCCAATCTTCGACCCACTTTTCTCCAGATTGTCGCTACGTTTCTCCATTTTCTGTTATCTCTTCTATTATTTTCTTCTCTTTTCTTTCTTACCGCTATTTTTTATTTTTCTTCTTTGAGCTACCGCTATTTTTATTTTTATTCTTCGTGACAGGGGTTCACTTTGGGCTGGAGAGTCAAGTTCAGCATTCGCTTCAATGGTATCTGGCGCCATCTAGCGTCGTGAATGGGTATAATGTATAGACCGCGAATATAAGAGGACCCACACTTTTTCAGTCTTATTTCAATGCAAAAAAACACCGTCTTATATTCGGGCCAATACGGTATTATTTCTAAGTCTAACATGTAAATGATTCAGTCCTTCAGTTATTTTATTAAACCAAGCCGATTGATTATTTTACATCGAAATTCAAGCATTTCTCCAATCTGTCCTCAAATGGCAAGCACCTGCGGTGACGGTATACACAGAAAATAAAGATTAGACCACAATCATTCAAGAGAACTTTGGCTGCGTTTTGATGTGAAATCCGCATTGTGTGTATTGCTAGGACGGTGCTAAAGAGTTGCTATACGACTCGAAAATAGTGTACTGAAGCGATTTTAGCATTGTTGTGACATCACAAACATATTCTCTCCTGGGTGATGTGATAATGGGGTTCCAAAAGAGACTCACATTTCCTGCTGTGTTCATCACTGACTTTATCTCCCTTTTACACGCTTTGGAGGATTTCATCTGAATGTGGGCTCTTACTTTGTACTGTAAAAGGAGAGCATGAGTCATTATGGAGGGGAAAGCAGAGCGTCAAGTATCTAGTTTAGCTCTTCTCTAGCATACCTGGTGCATCTTTGATTTCGCTGCCTCAATCATGGCTGAAAACTCTGCCTTCTGGTTCCCACCATCTTTGTTGTTCTGGAAAAGAAACATGCAGTTAAAGGCCTACCATAAAGTAAAAAGGAATGGGTGGGCATAATGTTAATCAGTCAAATAAATGTTCAGATTGTTGTTGAATGTGTATTATTTGCATCTTGCAGCAAAAGGGAATTCACGACTTGCCCCATCCCACAGAGGTGCTGTGGATCAGTTTCAACTAGTTTGTGGTCAAAGAAGACCATGACCGACATCCACAAACACCTCCACATTGGCACGACTGCTCAGGGTAGCTTTATTGTGTTCATTTCGAAACAGGTATCGAAAGGAGTTCATTTGCACACAGAGAGGGAGTCTCCTGTCAAATTAAAATACATTTTCTCAACCATTTTATATTTCACTGTGTGTAATGAATCTATGATACGAGATTCCCTTATTGAATTGAACTACGAAAAGTTTTGACTTTTCGTCAAGCTCGTCTGACTGTTGCTTGGCATGTTGGCAAGCGGTAAACTACGAAATGGTTCCTTTCTTTGCAGGTGCCATAAATGTGGCAAGGCTAGACAAAGCTGTTGCCTTCTTTCCAGATTTGAAAGAAGGCAACAGCTTCGCAGCTGTAGAGATGTCTCACACTTTGAATGGTCTTCACATCCCAGGTCAGTCTGAATTTGAAAAACTGTGCAAAGGTGACTTTCAATCTTGAAATTGGGTACCTCTCCTTTGCCGTTCTTGTTGCTTCCTTGTACAGAGAGCTTATCCAGCACAGCCAACAGGTGGAGGGCCTTCTCTGGCTGGAACGTGAGCAGGTACAGATCCACCAGCAGGAAACACACAGCCTGAGCAAACTTCTCTTCTAGGACAAATTACAGAATGACTCCATGCCAAACTGGATGGCTACATGACAAAGCGCAATTCACTAACATCTTTACTTTGCAGATTGCATACATTTTCAAACGCATTGTCATTTCACCACAACATACCAAACGGTTCCAGAAATTGGTAGAGCTTCTCCCCAATAGAAATGGCTTCTGAGTACTGCCGCATATGATAGTGGATAATGGCTTGATTGTAGTACAACAAACTATTTTCAACATCATCCAACCCATCAACATCTTCGGTGGCTGTGTGAACCTGAATGAAGCGATGTATCCAAGGAGGGAAGAGTGTTACGCTATTCTTTACATTTCACTTCAAATTTACAACATTATAAGATGAAAGGAGCTGGAAAAATAGGAGCCCCATCCACTTACCTGGGTCTTCATTGCCATTAGGCTTTGCTTAAGGTTTCCTGTGGTAGTCTGACCACTTTTGTAAAACTCTACAATGGCTTTATTCAAAGCAATCTTGTAGTCGTCTTTATTCAACTCTTGCAGAGCATCAAGGTGTCTCAAAGACTCATCATACTTCTTAGCCTGTGAATACAGCGAGATTGAGAGGGTTACTCTTAAAATGTATTCCGGTACAGGTACCAGTTACCTAGTTAAAAAAAGCACAAACATATTCCAAGTAGCAGAATATTAAAGTAATAAAACTTGAATACTTGTCATTACTGTTGGATTACGGCAATAACAAATACAGAACACAAAATAAAAATAAATATTGCTACAACATACATTTGTATACAGTTGACCTCCGGCTATTTGCCGGGGTGAGGGACTGTGCCTGCTGACAAAAAGCGAAAATCCATTGATAGATAGATCATTGATACGCAACAGTGTGCCACTGCTGGGGCACAATAGTGTAAGAGCTCTTGTGTGCCACTGTAAATGATGAAATTTCACTGAACTGGTTAAAAAAAAATATATATATATATATATAGACGGATGGATAGATAGATAGATAGATAGATAGATAGATAGATAGATAGATAGATAGATAGATAGATAGATTCATTCATTTTCTGATCCGCGCTGAACCAGTTGCCAGCCAATCGCAGGGCACACATAGACGAACAACCATGGGGAGGCCACAGCTGGAATTGAACCCGGTACCTCTGCACTGTGAGGTCGGCGCGCTAACCACTGGACCACCGGGCCGCCTATATAAATATATATTTATATATTTTTTTCTTCCGTATTTTCGCAAATGTAAGACGCACATAAAAGTCTTACATTTTCTCCAAAATGGACGTGGCATTGACCAATGCAGGTCACCTTGTGTGTGCACCAAGTTCCGAAATCTGTGAATGCTGTTGTGCAACTTCGATGGAGGGCCCGCTGGACAAACTGATGTTGTGCCGACATGTTGCTTATAAAGAGGAAAGGCAAACTTAACTGAGGACAGCATGCGTACGTAAAAGTGGGAAGAGTGGACGTGAAAGAGGACGCTAAAGGCAAGCCCCAAGTAGGTGCCTGTCGGAGCATTGTGCAAACCAACATCCCAAAAATCACACCTACGAAGAGACACTCTTTTACGAAACACAGTTTAAACTGCAAGCTATCAACTTCGCCGAGGACCATGGGAATAGAGCAGCCGCGAAATTCAAGCTCAAATAAATCCACAGTGCTTGGTGCTTTTTTTTTTTTTATGAAATGGTGCCATCCATCCATCTTACTTTCGTGCAGACTTTACTCCATCACAGCAGGACTCTGACAGCTCTATGTTTTCTTTAGAAATGTTATTTAAGACAAGTCAGTCCTTCAGTGAGTATGCTCCAAACAGTCAATCGTGGTCACCACACATCTTGGAATTGCTTGAAATGTCAAATGATGCATCATACTACTCAATACATATTTGAGATGTCAATATATTAAGTTTACCCAAATAATAGTCTTGTTAACATTAAGACTAATATTCATCATTGTGGCAACCATCAGGAAAAATGGCCGTTAATTACCAATGGAACTTCCTTATGAGAAAAGATTTCTCAATTTTTTTTTTTTTTTTGCGAGGGGGGAGGGCCCATGTTGTTCATGGAAAATGCTTTTTAGAGGTTCAACCTGTTTTTTTTCTTTCAGTAATTTTTGGGGTTAAAAATATAATAATCCACAAATTAATTCATACTGTGTGTCAATTATAAACAGATTTTCACTATTTATAGTGTAGCCCAGTCCCTATCCTGTGTGAATGATGGGGTCATTCGTACAGTTTATCAAAATTAAAATGGGAACACTCACCACAAACGATTCATATGCACTGGCTGCCATTTCTTTCTCTTGGTCTGTCATTCCGGGTGATGATGAGTTGTCATGCTTTGCCTCATTTTGCTCTGATCAGAAAGAATGTAAATGTGAGAAAATGTGCAACATGACAGTTCATAGTTTTGCGTTGCATTTACACTGTACAGTGGTTACATCAGCATTATCAGTCATATTGCTTGAGCGTTTTTTATTCATTCATACCCTCCAAATCAATTTGAAATGGGTTTGATATCGACATTGCTTTGTTGACCTTCATCACAAAGCACTCGACAGATGCCTATGAAGTTGGAAATAGAATGTACACCAAGACACAGTTGGGCAACCCAAAGCTCCAGATCTGCTATGTCTTTGCAAAATAGAGGAGTAAGAAGAAGTGACTTTTGGCTTTTCCCAGTCAGGGGTCGCCACAGCAAGCAACTCATATGGTATATTTTGCACGGTTTCTACGATGAATGCCCTTCCTGACGTCACCCAACTATTTTTTTATCTGGACTTGAGGAGTGCAGTGGCTACGAATGGACGTGTAGAAGAAAGGTTCTTCAATAAGTATTTTTTTAATTAGTTCATTTTTATTAATTTGAAAATTATGGTTATCATTAAAATATTTATTTTTTTTTTGTTGGTCAAAATATGCACAGCTCACATCTCACAGATCTACAATCGCCTGCAATCATATGTGAAGATGAAGATGATGACACTCAGATTAACAAGGTAAAGTGAGGACTTTAATGGCTATTATTTTGTGAATATACATGTTATACTGTCAAATGAAAGTCTTTTTTTAAGTCAGGCTTACAGCTGACTGCACGTGATGAAATTCATGACGTAATATAGAAGAAGACTCATTCTTGGGTTCCTGCAGGTGGATAATTTCACTTTTGTTTCATACACATTTACTAATATCAACATCGACTACTTTATTTGAAAGTAAACATTTTTGTTGCATGCAGATGTTTCTCTCTGGAGCAGTTAACCGACTTCGTAATTGTCAAATGCTAGTTTCTATTAATACAATACAGTATTTTTTTTCTTTAATCGTGTATGAAGTGTTACCCTCACTTTAGATGTTATAACGGGTTTGTTGTGGTCATTTTTAAGCATTCAAGCTTGCAAGTACCTTCTCTTTGCAAGTATTCTTAAAACGTTTGGTAGGTCAGCAGGCATGTCATCATCGAAGCTGAAAGTTAACGAGGTGCAGAAATGCTACGTAGCCAAACAGCTCGGCAAAACATATACATATCTAAAAAAACAGTAGCATTGGTAGTCACATACACAATAAGTTAATAACCACAGGACTGACAAACTGCATCGAAGTCCATCTTCTCAAGGATCGTATCCCAAGTTTAAGTGCTGGTTCAACTCCTTTGACTTGCTAACTGGCTAACGTTAACCAATGCCCTTACCTGTGTTTTCTGCCATGTTTTGACCTTTCTCACTTCAGATAGAGATGCGCAATCTGCATGTAAAATGAGATAAACGTTCAATTCAATTGATTTGCGGAATACGCGTAAATAATTGAATCATAAGGGACCACTGTCTTCAGCATAGAAGATTGCTCCAACAAAAAAAAAATCTGTCGCGTTTCATATGCTTCTTTGTGGGTAAGGTGCAGTTTGCAACTAAGGCGTAAAAATAAAGTAGCGCCCTCTGTGGGTTGGAGTGAAAACAACTCGAATCAACCCACAAACGCCTGACGTTGGACGCGAAACAAGAACATTGTCAATTGTTATAACAACTTTATTATTTCAGGAGAACAACGATGATGATCAGACACCTGATGGGACATTCAGCATCACATAATGTTTTGATTCCATAGTTCACTCGTAATGTGTTTGGAAGTGAACGCAAAACATTTTCGCATGAATTGTAACTTTTCAATGGAGCTGTAACTATATACGCATGAATAAACCATTGCTAGATAGTTGACACCTGTGGGTGTTGGTGGTTTGATGGGGAGGAGGAAGAAGACTGCCTTGTGATGCCACACACTCTAACATAAAAAAAAAAAAAAAAAAAAAGCCCCCCGGCAGCAGGAGAGGGACATGTAACTTTTCAATGGAGCTGTAACTATATACGCATGAATAAACCATTGCTAGATAGTTGACACCTGTGGGTGTTGGTGGTTTGATGGGGAGGAGGAAGAAGACTGCCTTGTGATGCCACACACTCTAACAAAAAAAAAAAAAAAAAAAAAAGTCGCACGGCAGTCAGAGATGGACAAGTTTAATGCAGTCCTGAAGATTGCAAACAAACAGACTAACCTTGGTTTTGGGTTAGTCTCCTTGTTGACGGCTGGAGGAGAGCAGATCTTCTCCTCTGTGCTCTTCAGGTGTCCCTGCAATGAGCTGAACTTCATGTACGGCATGGTGTTCCTTCTGGTGCCTGCTCTGGCTCTGCTACTGCTGGCTTACATCTTAAGTAAAAAAATGTGGAAGATGATGACAGGGTTTTGCCAACATGGGACTAATTGGTCCTGCTGCAAGAGGATGTCTCACTGTCTGAAGATAATCTTTCAGATCAGCACCACAGCGCTGGTGGCACCATCCAGTTGGATAGCCGTGGCGCTACTAAATGGGAACTACTTTGAGTGTGCAATGACAGGTCTCAACGTGACTGATTACAGTGAGCGTCTCTGCGGAGGTGCCACTTCTCTGGTCGAGTGTCGAAAGGAACTCCACAAATTCCCTTGTGGGAGAGGCAGCAGTATCAATGACAGAGAAGCTGTCCTGCTCAACATCAGGGCTCATTCACAGGTGAGTTTTCAGGTACTCTAAAGCATTGCTCAGCTTTAAACCGTATTTCATCCTTGAAACATGGTACTGTACAGTACAGTATATGAGAAAGTACCGGTAGTAGAAAAAAAAAACCAATAAAAAAAGCACAAAGTCAATACGGTTAAGTCTTTATACACCACTAGAATGGATTAATTTGAAATAAAACAATCATGCCAGTGAAGTGCAGGCTTTCAACAGAAGAGGAATTACATTTTTTAAAAATTTGAAATTAATTAAAATGAAAATGGCACATTTGAAAATATAACTGTGTTTTATACTTGGATAAAAATCCTTGATCCTCAAGTCTGGAGATCCGGCACTCAACCACATTCATTTTCCTTGACTGAAGTGTAGTGTCAACGATCAAAGTATGCATTATGTTAATTAAAGTGGCTTACAACAGTATTAAATATACTTTTTAGTCATAAAAACAACAACAAAGTCTGGGTCTTCTACCCTACTATATTTCAATGTTGGTCATGAAGGTGATTTATTTAACATTTCGATATGAGAAAGTAAAAATCTGTGCTGAAATAATGATCCAATTCAAATGTAAACATTCGATTTCCTCTTGTTCTACATATCGTGTTGTCAATATTTACAGATCCTTGGCTGGCTGTTGATTGCATCTGTCATGTTGTCCAACCTTTTGTTGACCTGTTTGGCTCGGTGCACCTCACCCGTCAGCTACCTACAGCTCAAATTTTGGAGGGTTTATTCTCAGGAAGAGAGCAACCTCATGGACTCCTACAGCATGATCCATGCCAAAGAATTAGCGGAGAGAAACCTGGAAAGTTTCTTCAAACAGACAATGCCCCAACATGTCATCACTCCCTCCAACAAAGATTGGGAGAAAATCTCCGCGCTCTACAAATTCAGCACCAAAGACTACTACTACAGCACGTTACACAAGTATGTGGAGACTGGGATGCCAATGGCCTCAGTGAAATCAATGGAGACACCTGCAGACAATCCTGCTGTTCTTAATTTTGTGGATGAAGGTGGGGTGGGCTTGTAAGGATGTCAGCTGGGCACCCTTCTTTTAGACTTACGTTTGCCAAAAATACTGGCTATGTTTTTAAAAGGCTTGTTCAGGTCAGTCAGGTAACATGAATACATACTGTATTTTCATACACTTGTGAAAATAAAGTCTGAGATTTACAGTCTACATGCTCTGTGGTTTTAAGTAGGCCAAACACTTCCTGTACATGGGTTGCTGGTGATGTTCAACTCCACGTTGTGTATCAAAAACAATCATGCCAGTGAAGTGCAGGCTTTCAACAGAAGAGGAATTACATTTTTTAAAAATTTGAAATTAATTAAAATGAAAATGGCACATTTGAAAATATAACTGTGTTTTATACTTGGATAAAAATCCTTGATCCTCAAGTCTGGAGATCCGGCACTCAACCACATTCATTTTCCTTGACTGAAGTGTAGTGTCAACGATCAAAGTATGCATTATGTTAATTAAAGTGGCTTACAACAGTATTAAATATACTTTTTAGTCATAAAAACAACAACAAAGTCTGGGTCTTCTACCCTACTATATTTCAATGTTGGTCATGAAGGTGATTTATTTAACATTTCGATATGAGAAAGTAAAAATCTGTGCTGAAATAATGATCCAATTCAAATGTAAACATTCGATTTCCTCTTGTTCTACATATCGTGTTGTCAATATTTACAGATCCTTGGCTGGCTGTTGATTGCATCTGTCATGTTGTCCAACCTTTTGTTGACCTGTTTGGCTCGGTGCACCTCACCCGTCAGCTACCTACAGCTCAAATTTTGGAGGGTTTATTCTCAGGAAGAGAGCAACCTCATGGACTCCTACAGCATGATCCATGCCAAAGAATTAGCGGAGAGAAACCTGGAAAGTTTCTTCAAACAGACAATGCCCCAACATGTCATCACTCCCTCCAACAAAGATTGGGAGAAAATCTCCGCGCTCTACAAATTCAGCACCAAAGACTACTACTACAGCACGTTACACAAGTATGTGGAGACTGGGATGCCAATGGCCTCAGTGAAATCAATGGAGACACCTGCAGACAATCCTGCTGTTCTTAATTTTGTGGATGAAGGTGGGGTGGGCTTGTAAGGATGTCAGCTGGGCACCCTTCTTTTAGACTTACGTTTGCCAAAAATACTGGCTATGTTTTTAAAAGGCTTGTTCAGGTCAGTCAGGTAACATGAATACATACTGTATTTTCATACACTTGTGAAAATAAAGTCTGAGATTTACAGTCTACATGCTCTGTGGTTTTAAGTAGGCCAAACACTTCCTGTACATGGGTTGCTGGTGATGTTCAACTCCACGTTGTGTATCAAAATAATGGCAAATGACACACACGCACGCACGCGCACACACACACACACACACACACACACACACACACACACACACACACACACACACACACACACAAACTAGGATTTCTTGTCTTGGTTGTACTTTTTATTTGTCTCACACACAGTAGATAACCCCACCCACGTTTTTCATGGGAAATGTTATTTGAATATTTTTTTTCCACCAGTGCATTTCAATTGGCATCAGTTATACACAGATTTCAGCAGTAGCGTTCCGTCAGGGCCAGCAAGGCCTTCTCTGCTGGCCTAAACGTTCTCAGAAAAGTAAATTTAATAAATTTACTTTTCTGAGAATAACAAATTTAATTTGTTATTTTATTTTCATAAATATGTAAACAAAATTATTCTCTGTATTCTTTACGTCATATTATTTCCACGTAGTTGAGTGGCTTTCAGTGTTATTTTAAATAACATTGAAAGCCACTCGATAAATAACTTATTTATTATGGTAGAGTTTTTAACCAATCATATTTCAGCTAGCTTGTGTTGGCAGGTAAATTAAACTTGCACAAATACCTGAAATCATTTCAGGTATTTGTGGGCTAGCCCTATCCCCTTGCAAAGAGTGGTCAACTGTCACGCTTAAGTAAGCCTAACTAACAGTCTGTTTTTGCTTTCCACTACAGTGGTGGGTCAAATGCAGAGGTCAAATTTCAGGCTCATTTGTCAACATGACAAACATAGCTAATGCTTCATCTTCTCAGGTACAACCGCAGATCGATTTTATCCTATACTTTGTGCCTACTTCAATCCTGAGCTGAAGTTTTGGAGGGTGGGATTTTCATTGGGAGTGAGAGCCAATTGTTGATTATAACCAAAAAACTACTGTATTTCTGAACTAGTTGACATCAGTGGCATAAGTGCATAAATCCAATGAGTGTTTGTGCCAAAAGTAATACTGTATATCCTATTATGGATTATGCATAGTTCATGTCTTGCTGGGATTTCACATTAGCAGGCTTTTACAAGGCACTTTGTCTGAGTAGTCACTGTTGTGAGGCTTGGAACAGACAAACCACTGAGAGGATGTGAGTCCATCTTCATTCTGCTGAGCTGCTGGTGATGACCGGCTGTGTTGCAATCACAATGGTATGTTCTGTATGGAAACACTGAATAGAAGAAGTACTGTCATTCTGCATGATTTGTTGTTTACGAGATTCATTTCCTTGCATGCCTTGTCCAAATGGATGATTTCATCATTATATGATGGTTTGTAATTTTACTGCTAACTTGCAATGGTGGGTTATGGTAGCATGGAGCAGTATACATCTGACTGAAATAGATTGTTCAATTTGAAAGAGGAATTCAAACTGGAAGATTAGACTGGTTGCATTGAGCGCTTTCCGTGTGTTTACCTTTAACGTGATCAGGGTATTACAGTAAAAGCGAGACTCCGCTTCCAAAGCTGCATTACTGTCAAGAGACTTGGGTTGCTCATCAGCAAAACTGGATATGCAGGATTTTCATGGTACAGTTGCAACTGAAGTGTACAGACAAAAACAACGGGAAGTGGTATTCATTCTTAACACGCAATTGCAGCCTCTCTTTTACTGATGACTACTGTATTTTGCGACTTCCCTTTGGATAAAGACGAGATTTGTTGAATGAAAAAGCCAGAAGTGAGTAGGAGTAGCTGAGGGACAAAGGGAGGAGTCAGAAGGGAAGAGCACAAACCAAAGGGAGGGGCACGGTTTTTGTCTTCAGCTGTAACAAGGCAAGACCTAGCACATGCTTATCACTTGCTCGTCCATTTTTTTCATTCTGCCGTCTCTTTGTTTTCTGGTTTGTTACATTTGGAGCGCATCTAAAACCCCACTGGTACCATGGATAAATTCCAGACTGTCCTGCGTTTCTTCATGAACCAGAAAGCCACAATTGGCTACAGTTTTATGGCTCTCCTGACAATAGGCGGGGAGCGAGTCTTCTCCATGGTCTCCTTTCAGTGTCCCTGCAACCATGACCAGAACTTTGCCTATGGGCTCACATTCCTGCTTGGACCTGCGGCTGTGCTCCTTGTCTTGGGTCTGTTCTTCAGCGCCAGATTGTGGAGGCTTTACACTGGGTGCTGCCTGAATCCCATGAAGCTTTGTCCCCGTGGAAGATGCTTTGGATGCTTCAGAGTGTTACTAAGCATCTTTACAGGGGCTTGTGTAGCTCCTATAATGTGGCTTTCCGTGGCCCTGCTCAATGGAACTTTTTATGAGTGTGCTGTCAGCGGTCTCGATGAAAACCTGGTGGTGGACCTCTTCTGTAAAAACAAGACCATGAAGTGTCGAGAGGAGCTAGCCAGAGTTCCCTGTGGCAGGTCCAAGTTATCTGATGAGGAGCGCATGGACCTGCTGCTGATGTTCAGGGCCCAATCTCAGGTAAGGGAATTTTGTCATTTCTTCGACTAATATTCATCCATCGTTTGTGATGTGTACTATGTGCGTATTATATTTTCCATGGTGCCGGAGGCGCCCGACAGAAACAAGCCCCAACACGTAACGAAATGTTGGCTCTTGTTACACCTGCCGGTATATTCTCTCTAGCTTTGAAATGAACAGTCTGTAGTCTGGCTCTCGATTGGGATGAGAGGCAGGGTACATCTTGGACCTAACCTAACCAATGCCTGACATATACAGTTTCCTAAAAGATAAACATTCACACCGTAATTTACACTTACGGGTTGTATTCAGTGAACCGAATGTTCATGTTTTTGGGCTGTGGAAGGAAGAGTGAATCCACACAAAAACAGGGGTAATACTCAATCCCATCTGATTTGCTGATTCGTCATACTTCAACTTATACGATGAGAACAAGATTGTGCTTGTTTGCAGAAAGTGCTTGTTTGCAACAAATTTGCAAATGAAGACACGATTTGAGAAGCCTGAACTCTGAGTCGGCAATATGGCATAAGAAAAGCGGTCCCCTGCTAGGAAATTTGCTTTTCAAATTTTTGAGAAGTCAATTATTGGTATATTAATGATTTTTAGGTCAACAAAGTACAAGTCTCCAGGCTTAAATTGTGTCATAAAATGTCCATCTATCCATCCATTTTGAATGCCACTCATCCTGATCAGGGTCGCAGGGAGTTGCTGGAGCCGATCGCAGCTGACTTTGGGCGGAAGGCAGGCTACACCCTGAACTGGTCCCCAGGCACATAAAGAGACAAACAATCAGTTACACCCACATTCACACCCTCACTAAGTGGGAACCAATCACACGCTGCCCCCGCACAAGTCCGATGTGGGTACCACTACAACATCAGTGACTAGTCATAAAATGTTATCTTTGGTCACACTCCACTTTAGAAGATTTCATATTGCAACTTTGGCAAAAGATGAACATGTAACGGCCATTTAAGCCACAAGTCTCAGTCAGTTTATATTATCTGAAAGGCCAATTGGAGACTCATAATTGTCCTTCGGAGTTAAGGTGGGTGTGAATGGTTGTTCCTCTATTTGTGCCCTTTGATTGACTAGCAACCCGCAGTTCAGGATGTATTCTGCCTTTCACACTCATGTTAAAATAATCACAAAATTAAATTAGATTGAAATGGGTGTTGACTGTCTAGTGTCTACTTCACCTTTCAATTTTGGGATGATGGCTAATTGAAAATGAAATGCAATCCGCTGATGTACACTACTGTGTAAACGTTTTGGGCTACATCTAGCGTTGTATCAAGCAACCTGAGTATAGTCTTCTAACTCACAAACAGATGGATAAAGACAACAAACATGATGCTCCACCATTTTTGTTTATGCTTGGAGTTACTTATAATCAAATGTAATGGCGCCTCCCAACTTTTACACAAACAGAACTGTGTTTTAAATATATTAAAAACCCTGTACGAACACTCTTGTATATTTGCTTTCTTGATGTCAATATTCTTCGACCTCATCAGTGTAGGGGGGATGATAAAGGTTGAAATAAGTATCTGGTATGTGTTGAACATCATTTTGTTTTGGTACCTGTGTGCAGATTCTTGGCTGGTGCATCATCATCATCGCAGCCACGTTTGGGCTTCTTGGTACCTGCTACACTAACTGCCGTTCAAATGTTAGTTTCCTGCAGCTCACCTTCTGGAAACGCTATGTGGAGAAAGAAAAGGAGCACTTTGATGCCTACACTCTGGAGTATGCCTCCAAACTGGCTGAAAGAAACCTACAAAGTTTCTTTGAGAACAAGGATCCCGATCCATTTCCTTTTCCCAACCACAAGGCCTGGGAGGAGATTTCTGCACTCTACACTTTCTCAAGGAGCGAACAATATTACAGTACTCTGCAACGTTATGTGGAGAGAGTAGACAGGGACTTTGCACCAGAGAAGAGACCTGTCATGGACTTGGAGTATGGAATTGAAATGAAATAGTTTTTTTTTTTTTAAAGGAGGGTGCAATGAAAGAGCACAGTGTGGAGACTGTTACAGAATTAGTGAAGGGGAAAACCACTCCGTGTTACTGCCTTGTTACTTTTAATGCCTTCTACTATATAATTTTATAAAATCCATACTTTGGATCTGCACATATACAAATAACATGTTAGAAAATGAATACGTTGTGAATAATATTCACTTACTCTTTGACTGACAACACCTTGGATTTGGTATTTTCTTTGACCATTCCAAATTTGGATGCAATATTTTGATATGGTGGATACATTCAAGTGTTGAAGACAATGATTTCGTGACCTCTGGATAAAAACGCTTAATCTTACATATGTAAAGGTGAAGCCATCATCAGTAACATGCTTAGTATTTAAAGTAGTTAAACATGTTTTGGTACATCCAAATGAGTAAATGCAGGAAAAAGCTTCTTTTGTGTAAATATAACTGGATTTTTGTTCTGGGATTCTCAAAGTTGTTAAGTGTACAGTAATAATTTCAATGTTTGAAACGCAAGTTATAAAACATGGTTAATGCGTTTGCTAACTGATATGGTTCTAAGCTAATTAAAAGACTTCGCTGTTATAACTCATGTTTGGATTGGAATAACGTGTGAGCCTGGAATTGAACCCTCCACCTCTGCACTGTGAGGCCATTGTGCGAACCAATTGACCACCATGCCGCTCACCCACTTTTTTATTTTTAATATTTTTTTAATGAAAGTAAAACAGATCAGATGCTTAGGGTGCAATGTACACTAACACAAAAATATATAAACTCATTAATACGGATCCAGACACACAAATCTTTTTTTTTTCCATTTCTCCCTAAATCCCCAGCGATCGACTTGGGACCAGTCCGCGGACTACCAGTCAACCGTGATCGACTGGTTGGGCACCCCTGAGCTAGGAGGCGAATTTAGGCAAGTGGCCTCACATGGTAGACGTGGAAAATGAATACCTGGAAAGACAAACGACACATCCAAAGCCATATATCCAGCAAGCAGATACAAAAAAACTCTGCCGACAACCTGCTGGAAGTTTGCAACAGAAATGGGTGTGCAAGAGTTTGACTTTTGACGAACAATATTATGGTCTGTGGCCCCTGATGCTAGAACCTCTAATATTAGATTGGAAATTGCTAGAAATTAAACGTAGAAAGTAATTGGAGTTTCTTAGAAATTAATGTTATGAGCAGGGGCAGAATAACTACAGGGATCGTGTGAAGAGTTTGTTGCAATACTTTTCTACAGGATGAGTGGGGGTCCAATAGAATTGTATGCGATAGAAATGGCTTAGGAGTCGATAGAGGAGAAATGAATACTGTATCGTGTATGCTTGCATTTGTGTACGTGTGAACAAACCTCAGGAGATTGGGGATGTGCAAAATGAGTCACCATCTTTAAGTCCTCGGCAATCTCTTCCATTCAATTGTGTTGAAGTAATTGTGTTTTAACGTTGCCTGCAAGCTGAATTCTCGCAGTATTTGTTCACAAAACCCCGAGAATCTATCTTGTCCCAAGCCAACTGATTTGCTCCACTGGTTGGTTGTGCAGACAAAGCAACAATGTGTTTGGCGGCGGCATATGCGGCTCTGACGAAAACAACAAGCGTCAAGGGCGGGGGAAACAAACAAACCAAACATAATTTAAAATAAAAAAAATATGGCGACACCAATGGGCGAATGCCTGACGCTGCTCTCGCTTATCAATAAAAAACGCCCTTTATCCGTATATTTACATTACCAAGGGACAACTATCACTCAGCGCCATGATGCATCTATGCCAATCATCGCGATGACAGGACTCAGCTACTCAAAACAAGGGACATGCCGGTGACGACATTTTCATCCGTTGACGTGATGGGTCAAAACAAAAAGTTTGGTAGGCGTGTACATGTTGGAGTATCGACCAACCAGCTCTTCGTATTTCCTGAATGTCCCACCTTTCCGAACATTTTACAGTGGAGCAATAACATGCACTCATGGCGGCAATGGGTGGGCAGGAGAAATGTTGACAGCGAAAATTAAGTAAGTAATTAAACATTTTTATTCGTATTTCGTATGGTTTTCTGCATTGCACGATTTCCATTCGGCCAACTTTTGTAAACGTCTGCCAAATGCTAATGCGACGTTCCATTTGCCCTCGGTCGAAAAGCCCTTTTTCCGTCAACTCTTAACGTGTGTACCAAGTGCTGTCGGACTCTTCGTAGGATGACTACATTTTCAGCATTAAAAACTAGGATGCAAGGGGAATTCTTGGAACGCCAAATCATGGCTTTTCTCTGCTCACAGTAAACGGTAAAGCTGTTTCTCTCTTAAAAGTCTCAAAGGATTGTTGCCTTGATTTCCCGTCCCTTGGGATTGTTAGTGTTCCTCTGGGTTCATCACCTTTACCATCACTCGGGGCTTCTTACCCATCACCCAGAGAACCTGTTTTCCATGGAAGACCCGAGAAATCATTTGAGTGCATAAAACCCTCTCCCCACCACCAAATGAAGAATCTGAATCGTTAACGACTGGAGATGTAAAGTCACATTAACTACACGTTACTCACTTGGTCGCATGCCAGGGTAACCAAGCCTGTGACAGGATGAGAGCTGTGTATGAAATGGGCCAGAGAGAATGTGGCTGGTCTGAATGCTGGTTTCCTTGAAAAGTGCAAAGTGCGCCCGAACACACAAACCCAAACATTGTGTAAAATCCACTCACAAAAAAAAAAAAAAATGCTACACTCTATCACTATTGTCAGGTAAAACTCACTTGAACACATGGCTCTTGAAAAAAAAAAACAGATGAGAGGAAGGGAAACAACCATTCCATTCATGACATCAGTGAGCACCCTGAAACTACCCAAGGACCCATGCAACTCAGTCAGCAGCAACACAATGAAAATCACAAGAACTGTGTGGGTGAAAATCACCCAATGTTAGTGTTGTGGGGTTCAGGTGGTGGTTCCAGGAGAAACATCGTAAAAATCAACTGATAATAGAGCATGTTGTGACTTACTTTCAATGACCATGCATTGCTTTCGATGGAAATGTTGCCCCACCAATGTATCTGATATGCAGGCAGTTAGAGCGTGCTGGCGTTTCTCATTTTCTATTCAGATCAGTGACCCGCACCATTTAAAGAAATGCAAAGCGTGTTGCAGCGAGCACAGAACCCCTTGGAGTTGTTGGCGCTCACAGTCTGGATACAAGTTTAAGACTTTCTTTAGGCCTAAAACTAGGACGTCAACATCAGACAATGTTGCAAATTCACTGTCACGTTAGATTGCTGTGTACTGTAGATCCCTGTTAGTGGTTGAAGATAAAGTGTTACAGACAGTGACGTGATCCACTTTTCAACTGCCATGCAGAAACCATATAAAGGCAAAACGGTTCTGAAAAAAACCAAAACAAAATAAAACTGTCCTTAAATGACGCTTTAACTTTTGGTCGGTTCAATTCGTGCTAGGGACATTTTCAGTTTGTTTTTCCACTGTTTTGTATTTGAATGCAATCATATGCCTTTTTCCAGAGTTAAAAATATTCACTTCTCTGTCTATTATTCCTATTCAGTCGTCCAATAAAATCTTGCTTTCTCGGACAAAATGCGCGATTAATCAAGAAAATGTATTATCCTGTAAATCATTCCTTTTTTTGTTTGTTTTGTTGAGTCCCATCCCTACATCCCTACACACATTTTTTTTTTTTAAATTTCACTTCGCGCATGATTCCTGAATGTCTCTTTTCTAGATTCACATTGGTCGTCAGCACACAAATCTGAGGAGATGGAGAGGGGAATGGAGGCACTTTGTACTTTCTTGAGACGTCGCAATATTTGCGAGGAGAACATAGTCAAACTACGAGATGACAAAGTAGGTTGCCTGAAGATTCATTTAGCTCCATTCACCGTTGCTCAGCTTTAGACACTTGCATATCCTCTATGAATATACAGAGGTGAAATGCCATGTTTATGATACCCATATCGTTTAAATCCTGTTTTACAAGTACAGAAATGTCCACACATTTTCAGAATGTGCATGTCACTCACACTTATTTTCATGATAGAAATTTGTTCCCAGGAATTGACAAATAATAGTGTGATAATGGGGGGACAATCATGTGATTTTCACCTGATCTGGTATCGGATGAAAAAGATCGGTTTTATTCATTTTCTAAACATTAAAGATCAAAAAGATACAAAATACTCCAAATTTCTACACATGCAAAAGAAGATATATGCAAATATCTTGCCAAATACAGTTGTATGTGCAAGACAATAATAGCCTAGTTTTATATTACATGACGTTCGTTTCTATTTTCTTTGTTTTATTGATTTTTTTATTTAGTAGTGGTGTTCTGAGTGACACTAAAAAACCTACAGGCGCGCACACACACACACACACACACACACACACACACACACGCACACACACACACACACACACACACACACACACACACACACACACACACACACATGCACACACACCGCCACAGACAGGTCTCCTCCCCTGCGCTCAGCCCCCCTGCAGGCAGATACAGAGTGGTGGGGTTGACTTCATAGATTGCTTGGAGGGAAAGGCAAGCCGAAAGATACTGCTAGATACGTCTTGTCTTTCCTGATATAAAGAAGCCTCCTCACAAAACAGCATCGTCAAAGCATTGAGAGAGCAACCGTCAGGTTCGTGACAGGTTTGGCACGTCCAAATGACCTCACTTCACTTCAAATAGAAGTGGAACGATTGTAAATGATTTGGTGACAAGCAAGCTCCTTCCCCACTGGTTGCATTTAACACGGTGATGAATCGATAGCAGTGTTTCTGAATGAGAGAGGTCACACACGTACCCAACAACAACTACATAGCTGCATGGAGTCTTCATTTTAGCCCGCACAAGCCTATAAATAACGATGTAAATGTATTGTTTAGCATTGGATCAATCAAATACACTCTATCAGGAGATGTCGTCATTCTTTAGGTGAGCTCACCAAATTGTAAAGTGTCCTCCACCTTGATATGCACAAGGTTTAAAGTTACACATTCAATTCACATAAATGCTGTGGCTATAGTTCCTGTGTTTGATCATTTTAATGCTACAAACCCAGAGTTTCAGAACAAAAACAATGACATGGGGGGGGGGATAATACACATTTTGAGCTGTTCAATACGTGTATCATCAAATTTAGCGCTTAAAAAAAAGAAATGAAAACAAATAGAATTTGGAGTGTATTTTGAGAGTGTTACAAAAAGCAATTGGTGTTGATTTTGTCGAATGGTCCATATAATACAAATAAAACAACATAGAACATACAAATTGATGTATATACACGTCTGTATGTATATTTCGATGTTAATTTTAGAAAAATCAGGTGCACTTTTTCTCAATGCTTCTATGTATCATATCGGGACTCTGTATTGGCAGATACTTAAAACCAAAGACTCGGATTTCATACTCAGGTGATTAAAAAAGCATGATCGGCATATCCCTAGTTAACCTGCACATGGTTAATTATGCAAAACAAACAAGGCT